TTCCACTACAAGGCATACTCTTGCCTGAGATTAGCCTGATTTTTATGAACATCAAGTCTGTATGCCATAAGATTAGTGGCAAGAAGGCAGAGTCATTGACAGTGTTGACAAAGTTATTAGTGGAATTGGATTTGGATGCATTTGTTAATGAAAAGGACTAAGTGTTTGGGTGTTTAAATGTTAGAGGGCCAAGAGAAAACAAATAGGGTGAGAGGACTTGAGCATTATTAACATGTTAAAAATAATTAAAAAAGGAAACAACAATAGAAACCATCATAGTAAGCCAAGTTGAGAAGATGGAAGAACTGCTATAACTTGAGGTTAAATTATTGAGTTGTTACTGCATTTATAAAAGTCTTAGAATTAGATTTATATTTTTTATATTCTGCATTGTTTAAAATTTGTGTGTGGAGTTTTCAATGCTATTTTTAGCTTCCAATGGTTTTTGACTTTGTCCAAACGTTTTGGCAGGTCTTTAATGTGAATTTATGAAAGCACTTTCTTTAGTAGTGTTCTAGGGCATATTGAACAAACTCCTATGACTACATAGTATATAGTCATATCCCTTTTGGGATCATGTCGGGCTTTAAAATTTAAACTGTATATGGGTTTGTAATTTTGAAAGGCGTCACATACTTACCTTTTCTAAAAAGTGATTTAATGTAAGTATGGAGTGGCTCATTTTGAGATTATTTAACTGAGTATTACCTACTAATATGATTGGTTGTGTCAGCCTGTTGCAATTATATGCTTCAACATGGAAGCTCTACTAATTTCAATGAAGTTATTTGTTCTCTCACTTTTTGTTGAGATGCATATTTTCCTGTCATCATGTAGCAAGATCTTTTTCTATAATCTTCTACATTGAGTATATTTGATATACACAAGATATCAATCCTTTTCTCCCAATGAAAAAATATTGGCAAATTTTCAAACTGTCTTGTGCTGAGTTCTTTTATCTGTATTGTTTAAGGTTGTTGTGTTTGCCGGTGGTGTTGATACATCAGCAACTGAGACTAAAGGAACTGTCCTCATACATTCAGCGGAGCAGGTATGTCAAAATGTCTAGAGTTTGGATTTGATCACTGTCTTCTACTTACTGTTTTATGTAGATATGTTCTTTTAATTGTTTGCATATAATGTGTCTAATGTTATAAGCTGGAGATCTAACTGTGTCCAAAATGAGAAGGTTGGAAGTGGATATTGGTTGGGTACTATAGCTAAATCTTAATGCAGTAATAACAACCGTAAACTTGTGTTATTGTTTCTTTTTACCAAGTATAAGTTTTCTCCGCTGATAATTTGGAAGGCTCTAACAAGGTATTATTTTGGGCCATGTCATTATTGTCTTGTAGATTTTGTTTGGTCACAATGCTGCTGAGTTTTCTATGTTCATTTATCATGATTTTTTGGGTTTGGTTATGCTTTATTGGTTTTACATATTCTTCTAATTGTTATAATTTAAAACATATAAAAATCCTAAAAGGTCTGTTGTACTTGGTCAATGCCTGATTCAAATTGTTATTACTTAATGCATACTAGCATTGAGTTTCTCAAATTGTTCCTTCATCCATTTTTCTCATGCTGATATGTTTTGAAGTGATTTGTGGCTAGATTTTTTTATTGGAAACAATTTAATGTTTAAATTTAAATCTGTAAGACAATTTGGCAGTAACTTTTAGGATAATCTGTTTTTTTTTTATTCTCAACTTCTGTAATAGGAAATGGTTTTATTTATTATACCTGAGGCTGTACAGCTAAAGGATCCTTGGGATTTTATAGACCCTGATTTTTCTAATGTTTTGTTTTCCTATATTATTTGATGCTTTGATAAATGGATTTTCTCTCTTTTTTATTTATATAGCTGGAAAATTATTCAAAAACTGAAGAGGCTAAAATAGAGGAGCTCATCAAAGCAGTAGCAGATTCTGGTGCCAAAGTGATTGTCAGTGGAGGAGCAGTTGGAGAGATGGCTTTGCATTTCTGTGAGCGTTACAAGTGTGTGAAGTCTTTTATCCCTTATGGATGGTTTTAGTTGTTTCTCGCTATTGAATTAATATGAACATTATAAGTATTCAAGTCTAGATTGTTTTCTAACTTAAATATTATTGCATATAGGCTTATGGTTCTGAAAATCAGCTCTAAGTTTGAACTATGATGATTTTGCAGAACAACTGGTTCTGTTGCTATGGTTTGTGTTTTTGCTTATTTGGTTATGAAAATGTTTTATGCTTTCCGTCTAATCAATTTTATTTTCCTGTTATAGTTGAAACTCAGCCAACCAAATCCAGATGATCTTGGATATGTGGATTCGGTTTCAGTTCAGGAAATTGGTGGTGTCAGGGTATGTTCAAACCTGAATGAGCTCTGTTGTCTTCTTTGTTCCACGTTTCTTGTTTATATTAGTTTATGAGAAAATATGCTATGCACTGACAATGGAAAATACTCTGGTTTATTTCAACTATGGTGTGCACTTAATTGATTGGCTTGATTCTTTTGTTCTTCCCATGTCTAAGTATGACAGGCAACTTCCTCTTATATTGATATGTAGGTGACTATTGTCAAAAATGAAGAGGGTGGAAATTCTGTGGCCACTGTTGTTCTACGAGGAAGTACTGAAAGTATACTAGATGATCTTGAAAGAGCAGTGGATGATGGAGTGAACACTTACAAGGTAATTCTAATGTTCTGAAATTTTGCATGATCTTGAAGAAGTAATTTTATGTTATTTCCCTATGATGGAAATCCCATATCAAGTGGATATAGGACCAAATTATAGCATACAAGTGGGTGCAAATGTCACCTTATAAGCTAATTTTTTGAGGTTGAGTTGGACTTAAATTACACTTCTTTAAGACCTTCTATCAATCTTGTAAACTCAGGTCTGCATGCCTGCAAATCTCAGGATTAATATTGCTTATTACATCTTATTGGAGGCATTTCTTTTAAAAACAATTTAATGCTTGAGCTAATTGAAATATGGATTAATTGTTTGGAGGCACTTTTTCAAAAACAGTTGAATGCTTTAGCTTATTGGAATATGGATTAATCCTTTTCCACGCAATTATGTATCAGGCTATGTGCAGGGATAGCCGAATTGTACCTGGCGCTGCAGCCACAGAAATTGAGTTAGCTAAACGGGTGAAAGATTTTTCCTTCGGGGAGACAGGGTACTTTTTATTTTCTTTTTCACTTTCAAACAATGATTATAATTCTTGGGGATACATTTATGTGGGTTGTCACACACATCCTTCTTCCATTCATACTAATTACCTGATGAATTTGTTTGTGTGATTTTGGCTTTTGGTAGTGCTATTAATTATCTCGTATAGGGCTATAAATATCCTATTATTATTTTCTAAAGATTTTATATCATTTGCTGAATTCTTTGTATCTTTTAAGGCACCAAGAGATGCACGAGTGGGTAAAAGAACTGTAAACTATTATTATTTTTCTAATTTTTGTTTTAAATAAATGTAAGGTTTTATTATGTTAAGTTCCATCTGCAACTGGTTATAAAGAATTTGAGACATCCGTGACAAATTGTTTACTAAACTGTCTACATCTAGATACCACACGCTTTAACATACATTCATTGTTATTTATTTGCATTTCATTGGCTACTAGCCCTTTGGGATCATTCACCACTAATGTGTTATCTTCTTGGATATATCTTGATCTATTTCAATATTGCGGCTCTTTTTTTTATCCCTTGTATGATACAATTTTTTCAATATCTTTTCTAACTGGAGGTATTAGGAAATATTGAGGTTAACATAAATTAAATATGTTCTAAAATCTATCTTGAGCCCAAATGTTTGTAATACTGCAATTACTGTGTATTATTTGGAAATAGTTACAATGTCTGGGTATAGTTGCTATGTCTTTATGCTTCAGGAGTATTGTTTAACATTTGTGAAGGGGTTAACTTGTTTGAATAGGTGAACTCATCTTTTGTATTTGCCTATCTGGCACTATGTGTAGATCATTGTATATTTTTGTAATTTACCGATAGAAGAATCCATATATGTGAATGAATAAGCTAAAAGATAGTTAATCTCTCTAAGACATGTTTTTTTCTCCTTTCTCAAGTATTTTGTTCATTGCTTATTTGGTATTTGACATTTTAATGGAATTGACTAAACATTCGCAATGGCTCTGCAGGTTGGATCAGTATGCCATAGCAAAATTTGCAGAAAGTTTTGAAATGATTCCTAGAACTTTGGCTGAGAATGCTGGGTTAAATGCAATGGAGATCATATCTTCGCTATATGCAGAACATGCATCTGGAAATGCCAAAGTTGGCATTGATTTGGAAGGTGGCTGTAAGGATGTTTCAACCTTGAGCATTTGGGATCTCCATGTGACTAAGTAAGCTATATTCTAACACAGCATGTTTTATATGGTGGCAACCCCAAAATTTGAGCGAATAATGAACTGTCTCTTCACTATTGTTTTGTAGATTCCCTTGATAAGCTTTGTCTAATAAAAAATTGTAGACATTAAGAGCTCTATCGTTGATGGAGTTTATGCATTCTTTCAACTTCTAAGATTGAAACAATTATATGAAATCAGAAATTATCTTCATATCACCTGAAAGACCAGTTTCATCATATTGTTTTTTCTGTTCAGGCTCTTTGCTCTTAAATATGCTGTAGATGCTGCATGCACTGTACTACGAGTGGACCAGGTAATCAACTAATGATAATGTCTTTGCCGTTCATTTCCAGATTCCCCTGTCATATGTACCTCAGAAGCATATTTTAATTACGGAATCAAGCTTTGAAACACAGGTTTTATGGTTAATAAATATAACTAGTGGTAATAGTATGCAGCTTTTGTATACTAGCAACTAAAATGAAGAATAGGGTACCATGATGCCTTATTCTGACCTGGGATCTAATAATGAAGATTGAAACAATGTTGGTTTGGTACTTACATAATTGCACAAGGTTTCACATAGGGATAGTTAGTTATAATAGTTCAGCAGTTGGAGTTGTATGATTAGAGAATTGACTTGAACAATTGCAATCTTCATCCATTTCATCCTCTAGCATGACCCTCTTGTACTGATATAATCGGCACATTTCCTCAATTCTTTGTGATTGATCTTGTACTGCTGTCATGGTGATTGTGCTTTTCACATTAATTTAGAAGTTCCCGTCTCATCCATCCTCTCTCTGACCTATATTTCCAGAATCAAACTATCTGATTCTTACCCAGCTCATAATCTTCCAGATCAATCATGACCGTTGCAATCTCCATTTTCATTTAACTAGCAGTGTCTCCTTTAAGACAGGAATGTTTAGTATTGTTTCATCAGTTATTAGGCCCACTGCATGCAACACTTTACTGTCACATTCATGGTTTTTCCTTGGTACCCTATTTCCTTAACCAGAGTGAAAGTGAGGTACTGTATACGAAGATTGATTGTCATTTTTTCCAAATTATAGTGGATGCAAACTTCATTTTACTAGGTTGAATTAGACTTTTACTTTCTAAGATGTTGATTTTAACTTGGGGAGAAGTTTGATTCTTTTTACTTTGATTCATCTTATTTTCTTAGTATGTGTTTGTGGAAAACTTTATCCAGACTCAACATAATATTATTAATTTTCAGTGCAAAAGCTGATTTATACATCAGGAGCACCCGATACTTTACTTTGCTATTTACTGTTGTCCTTAGGGTATGGTATCATTTCAACAAAATAGAGTGCTACTATTTACTCTCGTTTATTCAAAGGATTGATTTTTAATTCCACAGTTAAGTTTTAACAACAGTACTAAGGATTTTAGGCTTGCAGTGTCTTGTGTTTAAGTAGTATAAAGAATGTAATGTAATGACAACTTGAGGTTTACAAAGTGAAACAATTAAGGAATAAATGGCAATGATGATGAGCCTATAAGGCCTATGCCATGAAGATTATTGACACATGCATATGCAGCTTATGTGAAGTTCAATGTAATATTTTCGTCTATTTTTTCTTGAAAAGAAGTTAGAATTTTGAAATGTAGATATGAGAAGTGATATGATTAACAAGATAGAGAGAAATTAGAGGTTTCAAATAGGTGTTTTTAATATGGATGTTTCCATATATCATTGTTTAACTCAGTGTAAAGTTGGGGAGTTATGATTTTTTTTTTCTTCAGATTATCATGGCAAAACCAGCTGGTGGTCCAAGGAGAGGAGAGCAACCTGCAGGCGCAGATGAAGATTAAGTCTAAAAAAATGCGAATTGATTATCATCTTGGTCATGTTTGTATCTCAACATGATGGCTCGAATTTGACTTAGGCAATGTTTTATTTTATTTAGACTTTACTAGTGGTGTTCTTCACAAAATTTTGAATTTTGTTTTTGCCATGAAATACAAAGAGGTGTGTTCTGTAAATTTACGTATTTGTAGCCCTGTTGTGTGAGTGGAGATATTAATGTACTGATCATTATCGCCCTGGCCTTTGTTTGAGATCTCATGTATGTAAGGTTTTTCGGGTATCAGTTCTCTAGCATCAAAGCTGTTACTCTTGAAATTTATCCATTATTGAGATAGAAAACTTATTGGGTTTTTCATAGTGAAACCTGCTATAATTGCCTAAAATTGAAAGCAAACAGCGCCTAAATTTATGTTCTTCCTCTAAGGTTGTTGTGGCCTTCTGTGTGTAATTACTGCCATCTCATGGTGGTACGTTATTTCTTCATTGTGAGATTATTAGCAAAATTATGACTAGCTGTCGTGGTATTTTTTAAGATTAGAATATTCTCGTCACTTAAGAAATATAAAAGAATAGATGGTGAATTTGAAAGTGAAATTTCCTGTCAGGATCTTGTATTTATAAAAAATTTGGGTATATTAGATATAATTATAAGAGAGACGGTAAGAGAATATGAAAAGATATATTTAAGAATTAGGTTTACTAAAACTTTTACGATAGATTTTATTTAAACTATTTATTCTAACACTTCCAACATGTCGAAGCATTCAAATTTTATGTGCTTAGTTTGGAAACAAACTCACTGTAAAACAAATGGTAATTAATTTTAGGGTTAAATATGTTTTTAGTCCCTAAACTATTGGTCGTTTCTGGTTTTCGTCCCTCTTTTAAAATAAGGTACAATTTGGTCCTCATTCTTTTCGAAATGTTTGTTTTAGTCCTTGAAAACTAACACCCATTAAAAATTTGGTCCTCATTTAGTCAACAAAATGAGGACTAAAACCAAAGTTTCGAAGACTAAAACGAACGTTTCGAAAAGAATGAGAACCAAATTGTACCTTAATTTGAAAGAGGGACGAAAACTAGAAACGACTAATAGTGTAGGGACTAAAAACATATTTAACCCTTAATTTTAAATGTGTTTGGTTATTTCATGAAAATATTTTCGTTCACTTAATTTTACAAAAATTGAATTCTTAGAGGAATTATTTAAAATTATTTATTCTAACCCTTTTTGTTAAGCTAAAACATACAATTTGTACTGGAGTAAATAAGTTCAATATAGGTTCTCTTAAAGATTTTAGTTATACATCTACATGTAAGTCATTTGATCTGACAAACCCCATGCAGATTTGTTTGGACAACAACTTTTCTCAAACAAATGAGATTCAATTTCAACGTTTTTAATCTTCTAATGAAATACTGGATGTTGAGAGCAATTTGTTTATTATAATATGTTTTTATGAATTATTTCACAAAAATCTAATTCTTGAAAAAACTATTTTATTATATAATTCAAAGGTGAGAGATGCTATTTATTTATAATTAGCTTCAACGAATGATTGAACAAGAACATTTTAGTTAGTTTCATAATATCCAAATTTTTGAGTGTTTTCTTTAATTTTATATAGTAATACTTGTATAAGAAGTTGTTTGTAGAGCGAGTACTTTGTGAATAGCAATAGGTCAACTAGAATTCTCATTACCATAAGTCTTAGTGTGAAATAATGATGGTGAAGGACTTGATCAAGATGACTTCTTATGTGGTATTGAACTAGTTGTTTGAGTTACGGGGTGATGACCTAATAAAACTGGGTTGATGAAAGGAAGTTGTATTATTGAGAGAGGACAAAACCATGTTTGGAATTGGATATACAAAAGGCTAAGAGCTAAAATAAAGGCATATTATGCAAGGCTTGTTAGGCAAAGTTAACATATTGTGTGGAGAAAGAGAATAAAGGAGTTTCGGAAAAAAAAATTGAAACCTATACTGTAATATTTTTAAATATCAAGAGAATATCCTTTTTGCAGACAAGAATATTCTAAGAGGATACATTTGATAACTCAGACTGAAAGTTTGTCCAATCATGGAGAAACATCATGCACAAAACACACAACCAAAGGTTCGAGGAATAATGGAAAAATTATGTTCATTTGGAAACACAATGGAATATAAAACTTTATTATTCAAAGAAAAAAAAGTATTTTATTAACAAAATAATAAGCAGTAAGAATGACAAATTGATATCAATCAATAAGGTTCGAGTAGTTTTAACTTGTCTATTAGTTAGATAGACTCGTGTAACATGCTATGTGAATTAGGATAGGTAGTATGATATAAAATACCGTGCTATATCATTTTGTTGGAATGCATTAGAATAGGTAGACTAATGTAAAGTACAATATAAATTTAAAAAAAGTAGAAAACCCTTATGAGCTCTGATGAAGACGATATATCCCTAGTCAAGATGATTAAAACCGTATGATCGTGTTAAAATTGAAACTTCTGTAGTAGTAGATAGATAGATGATGTCACCGATAACGGTAAACAATGCGGCGAACAATGGTAGATGGTGTTGCTGTGGACATCGGTAGACATAGTGGCAGATGCAACAATTTTTTTTTCTTAAAAAGTGACTCTAGATGGCATACTGTATATATTGAAAATTATATACGAGATTAATATGCTTTGTGTTGAGTATAAAGATAAAGATAATATATAAAAGAATTAATTAATCAATTAAAAATTTAAAATTTAAAATATACATGTATATGATTAGAAAAGAAAAAACAAGATTATATGCAAAAAGAAAATAAAAATGTGAATGATATTTTTTTTTTGATATTATTAATTAATGACAACCTACTTACACAGTTGTTTGATTATATGCAAGATGGAAAAGAACATCTATAACATATTTATAATATTGTTATCAATATTAACAAAGGGAAAACCAATTTTGTGTTTGGAGAACCATATATACCAGTGAAGTGAAGGTTGTAGTTAGCCTTATTGCCCTTCGCTCAAGCGAGCTGTTGTTAAAGAGTTGATGCAGAGGAGTGACCTTGTTTCGCCTATGGGTAGAACCATATATATACAGTTTTGTTCATACTCATCCCATTAATGTTAAATCAACTCTACCCTCTATGTTTATTTCTCCCCTCTCTCTGCGTTCCTTCTTTTTCCTATGCCCCAAGTCTTCTTTTCTACGCAAATGCAAATTCTCACATCAAAATTTTCCCAAACCCTTTTACAAAGATTACAAGGTGATACTAAATCCGAAGCTACTTGGTTATCCTCATCGTTCTTGTGCTGAAAAGTTTGTTTTTTCTGTCTTCTCTGTGCAGTTATGGTGTCAAAATGTGAGTTTTGTTGCTTTCAGCAACGCTGCATTAAGCTATAATCACAGCAGCGACGACGGGGATACAAATGGAATTGATTTCTTGCACCTCATGGAAGAATGTGGGGTTCGTGCGAATTGCCAGACCTATTTGTGGCTTTTAGACGGGTGTTTGAGTTCTGGTTCGTTAACTGATGGTTGGAAGCTTCATGCTAAGATTCTGAAGATGGGTTTTTGCGCAGAAGTGGTTTTGTGTGAACATATTATGGACTTGTACATTGCCCTTGGTGATTTGGATGGCACAATCAAGACGTTTGAAGAAATGCCTGTTAGACCCTTGTCTTGTTGGAATAAGGTTCTGCATAGCTTTGTTGCTGGGAAGATGACGGGTCGTGTTCTTTGTTTGTTTAGGCAAATGGTTAGGGAAAATGTGAAGCCTGATGAGAGAACTTATGCTGGGGTTTTGAGGGCTTGTGGAGGTGGCGATGTTCCTTTCTATTATGTGGAACAGATACATGCAAGGACTATATCCCATGGTTATGAAAATAGTTTGTTGGTATCTAATCCTCTGATGGATTTATATTTCAAAAATGGGTTTTTGAATTCGGCTAAGAAGGTTTTTGACAGTTTACAGAAGAGGGACAGTGTTTCTTGGGTAGCTATGATATCTGGTTTATCGCAAAGTGGGTGTGAAGAAGAGGCGATTCTTCAATTTTGTCAGATGCACAAACTGGGAGTCTATCCTACCCCTTACGTATTTTCAAGTGTTCTGAGCGCCTGTAATAAAATAAAGCTATTTAAGCTTGGAGAGCAGCTCCATGGCCTTGTTCTCAAGCAGGGATTCTCTTCTGAAACGTATGTTTGCAATGCCCTTGTGACATTGTATTCACGTTTGGGGAACTTCATATCTGCTGAGCAGGTTTTTAATGCAATGTCGCAGAGGGATGAAGTTTCATATAATTCACTCATTTCAGGTTTGGCTCAACAAGGATATAGTGACAGAGCTTTAGGTTTGTTTAAGAAAATGCGTCTTGATTGCCTAAAGCCTGACTATGTTACAATTGCAAGTCTTTTGAGTGCCTGTTCATCCGTCGGGTATCTTCTGGTAGGAAAGCAATTTCACTCGTACGCTATAAAGGCTGGGATGTCTTCAGATATTATCTTGGAAGGCTCACTGCTTGATCTTTATGTAAAATGCTCGGAAGTAAAAACTGCCCACGAATATTTCCTTTCAACTGAAACTGAAAACGTGGTGTTGTGGAATGTGATGCTCGTGGCTTATGGCCAGATAGACAATCTAAATGAATCATTTAAAATATTTACACATATGCAGATGGAAGGTATTGTACCAAATGAATTCACCTATCCAAGTATTTTGAGAACTTGTACTTCTTTGAAGGCTCTTGATTTAGGAGAACAAATTCATACTCAAGTCCTGAAAACTGGCTTTCAGTTTAATGTGTATGTCTCTAGTGTGCTTATTGATATGTATGCTAAACTTGGAAATTTGTATACAGCGCTGAAAATTCTTAGAAGAATAAAAGAAAAAGATGTTGTTTCCTGGACAGCCATGATTGCTGGGTACGCACAGCATGGAAAGTTTGTTGAGGCTCTTAACCTCTTTAAAGAAATGCAAGATGAAGGGATACAATCTGATAATATAGGATTTGCAAGTGCAATTAGTGCGTGTGCAGGTATCCTTGCACTTAATCAGGGACAGCAAATTCATGCTCAAGCATGTGTCTGTGGTTATTCAGATGATATTTCAGTTGGTAATGCACTTGTTGGTCTTTATGCTAGGTGTGGGAAAGTACGACAAGCATACTTTATTTTTGATAAAATATTTGCTAAAGATAATATATCATGGAACTCGTTGATATCTGGTTTTGCACAAAGTGGACATTGTGAGGATGCATTGAGTGTATTTTCTCAAATGAATAAAGCTGCACTAGAAATGAATTCATTCACATTTGGCTCTGCAGTTAGTGCTGCTGCGAATGTTGCTAACATTAAACTAGGGAAGCAGATTCATGCCTTGATTTTAAAAACTGGCTATGATTCAGAAACAGAAGTTTCTAATGTTTTGATCACTATATATGCAAAATGCGGTACCATTGAAGATGCTAAGAGACAGTTTTTTGAAATGCCTGAGAAAAATGAGGTTTCTTGGAATGCTATGCTTACTGGTTATTCTCAACATGGTCATGGATTTGAAGCATTAAGCCTTTTTGAGGATATGAAGCAGCTTGGTGTATTGCCAAATCATGTCACCTTCGTGGGAGTCTTATCAGCATGTAGCCATGTTGGTTTGGTTGATGAAGGAATTAGCTATTTTCAATCAATGAGTGAAGTTCATGGTTTGGTGCCAAAACCTGAACATTATGCATGTGTTGTAGATCTTCTTGGGAGGTCAGGTCTTTTAAGCCGTGCAAGGAGATTTGTCGAGGAGATGCCAATTCAACCTGATGCAATGGTGTGGAGGACCCTTCTAAGTGCATGTATTCTTCATAAGAATATTGATATTGGAGAGTTTGCGGCAAGTCATCTTCTGGAACTGGAACCTGAAGATTCAGCAACCTATGTTTTACTTTCAAATATGTATGCAGTGACTGGGAAATGGGGTTGTAGGGACCGGACACGGCAAATGATGAAAGATAGAGGTGTGAAAAAAGAACCTGGTCGTAGCTGGATAGAGGTTAATAATTCAATTCATGCATTTTTTGCTGGTGACCAAAAGCACCCTCATGTTGATGAAATATATGAATATCTCAGCTATTTGAATGAAAAGGCAGCTGAAAAGGGCTACATTCCACGGACCAATAGTCTTTTGAATGATGTAGAACGACGTAAGAAGGGCCCAACACAAATTATTCACAGTGAGAAACTGGCAATTGCTTTTGGTTTGCTTAGTTTGTCTAGCTCTAGTCCAATCCACGTTTTCAAAAACCTTCGTGTTTGTGGTGATTGCCATAATTGGATTAAGTATGTCTCTAAGATTTCAGATCGAGTGATTGTGGTGAGAGATTCCTATCGCTTTCATCATTTTAAGGATGGTATTTGTTCGTGTAAAGACTACTGGTAAGATGGCAGAAGATTCACTAAATTGAAAGAATCCACTTAGACTTGCACGAGGGAACATAATTTATGACAAGTGCTGCAGATTATTTTTCAGTGGTCACCTATGTCATTGGTAAGAACTCTAACATGAAATAATTGGATAGATTTTAGAATAAGAAAGTGACTTCATACTTTTAGAATATGTTCTTCAATTTCTACACCTTTGATTCATCTGAATCAGGTTATTGAGTACCTTGGTAGACTATCTTATATTGAATCAACACTATCGTAGTTATCTTTTTTCTGTATGTAATGGAACCATGTTTTTGTATCCTCCTTTTCAGGTGAACAATATTATCTGCAATGAGCTTTCACTCACAATGCTTGAGCTTTCTCTTCCATGAAAATTAATATTCAAAATGGAGGATCATATGACAAGATTGGAGGTATTGCAATTAATTCTTCTAGGACAAGTTAAATGAATAATCAGCATTTGATTTCTGTGAAAACAATTAACTGAATATTTCATTTTCACATAGAAGTGAAAGTGACCTTCATGCATAGTGGGTAACCATTTAATTTTAGATTGGTATCCATCCAGAAGGGGAAGCTAGTGGAAAAACTTGGTTAGATTTTAGAAATGAAGTCCATTGGGGTTATGTGCCTCATTGAGCCTCAGTCTGAAGTCCATTGACCATTTTTTTGCCTGTTTACCAACAATCAACATAAAACGGCATAATCTTGCCCTTGTTTTCATGAAGATCAATTCTGTATGCCAGAAGATTAGCAGCAAGAAGACGGAGTTATTAATGGAGTTGGATTTCGATGGAGTTGTTGATGAAAAGAACTACTAAGTGGTTTGGTTTTTAAATGTTAGAGGACCAAAATGATAAAAATAAAGGGAAAGGACTACAACATTATTGTTGTGTAAGAAATTATAAAAAAGGAAACAACAAGAAAAAGCCAACCTAGAAAGCCAAGTTGAGAAGATGGAACAACTGCTATAACTTCAGGTTAAATTATTTAGTTCTTGCTGCTTTTATAACAATCTTATAACTAGATTCATATTTTGATATACTGCATTTTCTGAAATTTGTGTTGAGTTTTCAGTGCAATTTTTTTTTTGCAATGGCTTGTGACTTTGTCCGAAATTATTCATAGTTATGTAACGTGAATTTGTTAGAGGCTGGAAGGTTTATGTGAGAAGGAAGAAGAGAGAGTAGAGGAGTAGAATTCCTAACTGCATAAGCAGTTAGGAAAAGGCGGGGAATATGGGTATAAAAAGAAATAAGCATTGTATTGTTTTTATTCAGAGAATTACATACTTTGTATAGGCTGGTATTAGACCTGGTGGAGGGAGGTTAGGCTTTCGATAGCCACGTGTTTTACACATGTCAATACAGTAAATAATATACCCATTCTTTGATTCATCTTTTCAGCGGAGAGTTTATAACAGTGACTGAGAGAGTCTATTAGGATTTTTCACTGAGATTCCTAACAAATGGTCCGACCTGCCAGATTCGGGTGGCAAGTGATCGGAGTTATGGAGGGAAAAAATGAAGGATGCCTTAAAGTGGTGGAGAACCAACTCGAAGCTTTGGGGATTATAGTAGATGGGTTGAAGGCCGAAATGGCAGTGATGAGACAAGACTCATCGGCCATTTGCCAAGACCTTCAAGAAGTCATGCGCATGTTAGGAGGTCGCAATCACGAAAACGAGGGGGCATCGGACGGGAGCTAATCGTTTGTGAATGGTGATCGGAGAGGGAGGCGAGAGGAGGAGAATGGAGGACGAGAGACGGAACGATCAGAGGGACAATTTAATTGGCGAAAGAGAGTAGAACTTCCCGTATTCGAAGGGGTGGATCCACTGAACTGGATCGACAGAGCGGAACGTTTTTTCGAACTACAGGGAGTGACGGAGGAAGAGAAAGTTCGAATTGCATACGAGGGGAGTGACGGACGAACAACTTCTGGGCTATTTCCTGGTCGGATTATAGGACAATGTAAGAGATCGAGTACGCCCACACGATCCGCAGGAACTTCTAGCGGCAATGCGAATCGCAAGAGATGTGGAGTTCATACCGGGAGGAGCGAAGACCGGGGGTGGTAGTGCCAGTCGACCACAGATATCGGGGGCGAACTGCGGGGACGATAGTTCGAGTTGACCCGATATGTAACCAAGGAGGGTGGACGACGAGTACAGAGAGTGTGGGATCTGGGGGAAGAGAAGGTAACTCAGGGAATGGTGCGGGAAGAGGTGCGAGTGCAGTGGGGAACGAAACCATATGCAGAGGGGTGCGAAACCTACCCTATCATGAGTATCTCAAGAGACATGAAAAAGGCCGTTGTTTCAGATGTGGCGGCCAATTCAGCCCTGGACATCGTTGTCCGGAACGGAGTTTTCGAGTGATGATTTTAGGGGAAGATGAGGAGGAAGACCCTGGAGAAACCAAGGAGGAGTTGGAGAACGAGTGTTGGGTTCCTAAATTGGGAACCCACTTTCAAGACTCCCTTCTTCCCCAAGAAACACAGAAAGAAAGAAAGAAAAGTCTGAATGTTATTCACAAGTATAGTATCTGTACAATCAAACGCAGAGGCATAACCCTCTTCCTCAGGTATAAACCCGTAAGCAACTAAGCAATCAAAAATCCCCCAATCCCTTCTACTCAGCCTCTATTTATACAATCCTACAATCTCACCACAACTGTCCTAACTGTTAGTTTGTTACAGTTTGTTATATTCATTTCCTCTTATTTCTCCTCTCACAAACTACCCATCCTTTCTTATTCTTATCCCTATCAATACCCTCCCCTTGATCATCAACCTTGTCCCCAAGGTTGAAATCGGGGTACTGTTCTCGGATGGTTATTTCATCTTCCTAGGTGGCCCCTTCCGGTCCTCCTTGTTGCCACTCCACTAGCAGTTGCAGCACGCTTCCTCCTTCTGTCNATGGTGATCGGAGAGGGAGGCGAGAGGAGGAGAATGGAGGACGAGAGACGGAACGATCAGAGGGACAATTTAATTGGCGAAAGAGAGTAGAACTTCCCGTATTCGAAGGGGTGGATCCACTGAACTGGATCGACAGAGCGGAACGTTTTTTCGAACTACAGGGAGTGACGGAGGAAGAGAAAGTTCGAATTGCATACGAGGGGAGTGACGGACGAACAACTTCTGGGCTATTTCCTGGTCGGATTATAGGACAATGTAAGAGATCGAGTACGCCCACACGATCCGCAGGAACTTCTAGCGGCAATGCGAATCGCAAGAGATGTGGAGTTCATACCGGGAGGAGCGAAGACCGGGGGTGGTAGTGCCAGTCGACCACAGATATCGGGGGCGAACTGCGGGGACGATAGTTCGAGTTGACCCGATATGTAACCAAGGAGGGTGGACGACGAGTACAGAGAGTGTGGGATCTGGGGGAAGAGAAGGTAACTCAGGGAATGGTGCGGGAAGAGGTGCGAGTGCAGTGGGGAACGAAACCATATGCAGAGGGGTGCGAAACCTACCCTATCATGAGTATCTCAAGAGACATGAAAAAGGCCGTTGTTTCAGATGTGGCGGCCAATTCAGCCCTGGACATCGTTGTCCGGAACGGAGTTTTCGAGTGATGATTTTAGGGGAAGATGAGGAGGAAGACCCTGGAGAAACCAAGGAGGAGTTGGAGAACGAGTGTTGGGTTCCTAAATTGGGAACCCACTTTCAAGACTCCCTTCTTCCCCAAGAAACACAGAAAGAAAGAAAGAAAAGTCTGAATGTTATTCACAAGTATAGTATCTGTACAATCAAACGCAGAGGCATAACCCTCTTCCTCAGGTATAAACCCGTAAGCAACTAAGCAATCAAAAATCCCCCAATCCCTTCTACTCAGCCTCTATTTATACAATCCTACAATCTCACCACAACTGTCCTAACTGTTAGTTTGTTACAGTTTGTTATATTCATTTCCTCTTATTTCTCCTCTCACAAACTACCCATCCTTTCTTATTCTTATCCCTATCAATACCCTCCCCTTGATCATCAACCTTGTCCCCAAGGTTGAAATCGGGGTACTGTTCTCGGATGGTTATTTCATCTTCCTAGGTGGCCCCTTCCGGTCCTCCTTGTTGCCACTCCACTAGCAGTTGCAGCACGCTTCCTCCTTCTGTCCGCTGCCTCCTTCCCAAAACATTCACGGGCCAAAACGAAGGCCCTTCTGCCTGCAGATCAGGCGGTAGGTCCTTCTCCACCTGGTGCTCTCCTACTGCCTTCTTCACCTATGAAACATGAAATACCGGATGGATTCGAGCTGTCTCTGGCAACTGCAATTTACAAGCTGTCTCCCCCACCTTCTGAATCACCCGAAAAGGTCCAAAATACCTTGCTGACAGCTTTGGGTGGAGTCGGGTTGGCATTGAGGTTTGTCTATGGGGTCGTATCTTCAAATACACCCAGTCCCCACATTCACATTCGCGACCCGTCTCTTTTTATTAGCTTGTTGCACCATAAGATCCTGTGCGCGTTCCAAATGGAACCTCAACTGTTTCAGAGCTTCGTCTCTGGTTTGAAGTTCTTGATTCACGACCTCTACCAAAGATTCACCAGGAATGAATCTGTGCAAAGAAGGAGGCGCTCTCCCGTAGACAACCTCAAAGGGTGTGCACCTTATTGCTCCTTGGTAACTCGTGTTATACCAAAACTCCGCCCATGATAGCACTGTCATCCAACCTTGAGGCTGCTCTGAACAGAAACACCTGAGATAACCTTCCAGAATACGGTTCACCACCTCCGTCTGCCCGTCCGTTTCTGGGTGATATGCGGTGCTCATTTTCAGCTGTGTCCCCTGGCTTTTGAACAATTCATTCCAGAACATGCTCAAGAATAATGGGTCTCTGTCGGTCACGATGGACTTTGGGATCCCATGCAATCTTACTACTTCTCTCATGAAAATCTCAGCCACCGCCCTTGCCGAATAAGGGTGTTTGAGCGGTATGAAATGGGCATACTTGCTCAAACAGTCCACCACCACCAATATAGCATCGTACCCCTGGGACCTAGGCAGCCGTACCACGAAGTCCATGCTAAGTTCTTCCTAAACTACATTTGGAATTGGCAAGGGCTGTAGTAATCCTTGCGGTGATGACGCTAAATACTTGTGTTGTTGACACACAAGACATTTAGCCACAAACTCTGTAATATCCTTCTTCATCCCGATCCAGAATAAGGACTGGGCTATCCTCCGGTATGTCCTGTAGACTCCCGAGTGGCCCCCCGTTTGAGTTTGGTGAAATTCTGCCATTAGCCTAGGTAACCACGAAGACTTTGCAGACAATACTAACCTCCCTTTGTAATGCAACCTTCCGTGTTCCATCATGTACGCCGGGTGAGAATTTGGATCCCCCTTAATCTCTTCAATCACCTTTCGTAGCCTCTCATCCTCCTCCACTTCCCTCGTGACTTCTTCAAAGTCTTGCCAGTAAGTTCTGGCTATCACTGTCAGTTCCTTGTTTTCTTCTTTTTCACCCTCTGCTATTCGAGACAAAGCATTAGCAGCTCGGTTGGTCGTCCCAGTCTTATACATAATTTCAAAATCATATCCCAATAGTTTAGCTATCCAGTTTTGTTGATTCTGCATCGTGATCCTTTGCTCCAATAGATACCTGAGGCTCTTCTGGTCTGTGTGCACTATGAATTTCTGCCCTAGTAGGTAAGGACGCCAATGCTGGATAGCTAACACGAGAGCCATCAATTCCTTCTCATAAATGGATTTGCTGAGAGTTCCTTCAGATAAAGCCTTACTGAAAAAAGCGATTGGTATTTTTTCCTGCATCAGTACAACACCCACTCCTTTACCCGACGCGTCACACTCAATGTGAAAAGGTTGCTGAAAGTCGGGTAAGGACAACACCGGGGCTGTCGTGACGGCTGTCTTCAGTGTTTGCCATGCCTCTTCCGCCCTTTCGTTCCAAGCAAAGCCCCCTTTCTTCAACAGTTCCGTTAGAGGTCTGGCGATTTTGCCATAATCCCTTATGAACCTCCGATAGTACCCCGACAATCCCCAAAAATCCCCTTAAACTCTTTACCGATTTTGGCCGTTCCCAATCCACCACCGCCTTGATCTTTTCATCGTCCATCTCCACGCCTCTATGCGAGATGATATGTCCCAAGTATTTGATGTGGGTTTGCCCAAACTCACACTTCCTTCGATTGGCCACCCACTGGTCCCGACTCAGCGTTTCCAGGACCTTTCCGACATGCTCCAAGTGTTCATCCCAGGTTCGACTGTAAACGAGGATGTCGTCGAAGAAGACGAGCACGAACTTCCGCAAATAGGGCTTGAAGAGGTGATTCATAGTGCTCTGAAACGTCGCCGACGCATTGGTGAGTCCGAAAGGCATCACCACGAATTCGTAATGCCCCTGATGCGTGCGGAACGCCATCTTCTCTATATCCTTCTCAGCCATGCGGATTTGGTGATACCCGGCCTTCAAATCCACCTTCGAAAAATAGGTAGCCCCTCCTAACTCGTCCAACAACTCCTCTATTACCGGTATGGGGAATTTATCCGGCACCGTCGCTCGATTTAGGGCTCGGTAATCGATGCAGAAGCACCAACTTCCATCTTTCTTCTTGACTAAAATTACTGGACTTGAGTACGGACTATGGCTTGGTCGGATCACCCCCGTTCCGGAGCATCTCCGTCACTTGCTGCTCGATTTCATCTTTCAACATGTGTGGGTATCGGTACGGACGGACATTGATCTGACCGATGCCCTCTTTAAGGGTGATCTGGTGCACCGTCTCTCTGCTAGGTGGCAACCCCACTAACTCCGCGAACACCACGTCATGAAATTTTAGTAACTTCTCTATCTGATGTTTTTGTCTTTCAGTAAGCCCCGAACAATTTGGGCCGCTCGCCTGGGTCTCATACGAGCCCAATTCCCAAACCAATAACCACACTGCCACCTCATCTATTTTCTGTAAAGCTCTGGGGCCCACCACTCTTCGTTCTAAAGTGGGATCCCCTTTCACTGTTATCTTCCTTTCTCCCTTTCTGTACTTCATCGTTTATTCTTTCCAGTCCACCATCACTTTCCCTAGCTTTTTTAACCATTCCACCTCTAGAATGACGTCGACTCCGCCCAACTCAAAAATATAGAAGCGTTCAACCACTTCTGCTTCCCCCATCTCCAATGCCACCTGTTCACAGCACCCGTTAATTCGTTCCCTCTGTCCGTTTCCCAAGCTTACCATATACGGTGGGGTTTCCACCACTGTCATCTCTAATTCCTTCACCACCCGTCGACTTATAAAATTGTGGCTAGCGCCACTGTCAATTAAAACCAATACCTCACGTTGACCCATTCTTCCTCGTAGCTTCATCGTTCGGGGCGTCGTGAGGCCACAGAAAGGGCCGATAACTCCATCTTGGTGATGTTCAGTTCATCCTCCCCTTCATTTTCAGATTCCTCCTCCTCTTCAGCCAAAATCATCGTCCTTATCCCCCTCTCTGTACAACGATGACTGGGGCTAAAAGGTCCGCCGCACCTGAAACATTTCCCCTCTTCCCTCCGTTTGATGTACTTAGAGTAGGGAAGATTGTGGACACTCCTTTCATTTCCGCTGCCGCTGTCTCTCCTGTGATTTCCCCCGTGGGTCGCACCTTTGTTTACGGAACCGACACTTTCAGTTGGTCCCGCTCGTCCCGCCGGTTTGCGATTCGTCTCCACCTTTATTACCGATCCCGATGTTTTTCCCCAAGGACTTGGATTCTTGGATATCCATCCCCTTCCCGTCTTCGCGCACAGTTTTTCCACATCTCTCGCCACCCGCATAGCGGTCATCAAATCCGGTGGATCATGAGGCCGGACATGATCGCTCACTTCTTCTCTTAAGCCGGACAGAAAATACCCCATGATCTGCTCCTCAGGTATCTGGGTCGTTTGCCCCACCAGAACTTCAAAATCACGCATGTATTCCTCCACCAGTCCCGTCTGTCGTGTGGTGGAGAGTCTCTCATACACCGTTCCTTTCGTTCCACCCCCGAATCGGATACCCAGCGCCCTCTTCAACCCCTCCCAAGAAAGGTTCTTGGTCTTCTCTCGCCAGAATCGGAACCAGCTTCCGGCGTAGCCATCCATGCTAATAAAGGCCAATTCCAACTTCTCCTCCTCCGCCACCTTCTGGACTTCGAAAAACTTCTCCGCTCGGCCGATCCATACCCACGGTTCGCCCCCCTCAAACACGGGTAATTCGACTCGCTTCCTCCACTGGCTCATCCCTCCTTGGTTACCTTCTCCCCATTTCCTCCTCCGCCATTCAGTTCACCGCCATTATCGTTCACCGATGACTGACTCTCCCCCTGTCGCTGGCCTTGGTTCATGGGTATACGTTCTCCCATCGCTTTCAAAATCGCTTGAACGTCCAGCGTATCGCCGCCGTATCAGCCTTTGTCTCAGGGATTGCCACTTCCACTGCCTCCAAGTGCCCTTCGACCACCACCATTCTTCCCTCCATCTCCACGCGCGAAAACTCTCCGATATCCGGCAGGTCGGACCAAATGTTGGGTTCCTAAATTGGGAACCCACTTTCAAGACTCCCTTCCTCCCCAAGAAACACAGAAAGAAAGAAAGAAAGAGAAGTTTGAATGTTATTCACAAGTATAGTATCTGTACAATCAAACGCAGAGGCATAACCCTCTTCCTCAGGTATAAACCCGTAAGCAACTAAGCAATCAAAAATCCCCCTATCCCTTCTACTTAGCCTCTATTTATACAATCCTACAATCTCACCACAACTGTCCTAACTGTTAGTTTGTTACAGTTTGTTATATTCATTTCCTCCTATTTCTCCTCTCATAAACTACCCATCCTTTCTTATTCTTATCCCTATCAACGAGCGATTAGAATTATCTTCGCTCTCTGTAGGAGGAATGACTCAACCGAGAACCATGAAACTTCAAGGGAGCTTGGGGGACAGGGTGGTGTTGATCATGGTTGACAATGGTGCCAGCCACAACATTATATCAAAGGCGTTGGTTGAGGAGCTCCAACTGGAGGTGAACAAAGGCCAGATGCATCCAGTTTGCTTGGGTGATGGACAGCGAAAACAGACACAAGGATGCTGCCAAGGGGTACGAATTAGGAGGTGTCGACGTGATTCTGGGAGTGGATTTGTTGGCAAAGTTGGGAGAAGTAGTGACCAATTGGGGCAAGCTAACCATGTCCTTTAAATAGGGAGGAAGGGAAGTAATAATTAGAGGAGATCCAACATTAGCATGGGAAGTGATAGCCCCTGCAGCCATGCTCAAGATAACTGGAGTTGAGACAGTGGCAGTAATGTGGGGATTAAGACAGTTGGATGTGGCTGGAAGAGGAGAAAAGGAACAGGAGTTGACGGTGAGGCAGCGAGAAGAGTTGGAAGAGAAGCTGTCAGAATTCCAGCAGGTGTTCCAAGAGCCTCACGGGTTACCTCCAAAACGTTGGATGGAGCATAAAATCATATTGAAGGAAGGGATAGGTCCCATTAACGTGCGGCCATACAGATACCCCCACCTGTTAAAGGGGGAAATCGAGAAGCTGGTTGAGGAAATGTTGAGAATGAGAATTATTTGGCCCAACACTGGCCCGTATTCTAGCCCAGTCATCCTCGTCAAGAAGAAAGATGGGAGTTGGCGTTTCTGCATAGACTATAGGCTCTCATTAGAGCCACTATACCGGACAAATTCCCAATACCGGCGATAGAGGAGTTACTTGATGAATTGTGGTACGCAAAATACTTCTCCAAGATAGACTCCAAAGCTGGGTATCATCAGATCCGAATGGGAGGGGAGGATATCCAAAAAACTGCTTTTAGGACACACCAGGGGCATTACAAATTTCTGGTAATGCCCTTTAGGCTTACCAATGCCCCTGCCACATTCCAAAGTGCAATGAATGGCTTGTTGAAATCGCACTTGAGGAAGTTTGTCCTAGTGTTTTTTGTGATATTTTAGTGTACAATAGCTCGTGGGAAGATCACTTAGAGCATGTGAGATGTGTATTAAGTCTGTTGCTGCAACATCAGTGGGTAGTTAACCACAAGAAAAGCGAATTTGGAAGGACTCATATCAGATACTTGGGCCACATTATATCGGAGAAAGGGGTAGAAATGGATGGGGAAAAAGTGGAAGCTATCATAGGGTGGGAGGAACCCAAAACTATTAAAGTCTTAAGAGGTTTTTTGGGTTTAACTGGATATTACAGGAGATTTGTAAGAAACTATGTTAAAATCGCTCGTCCCCTCACTGACTTGTTGAAGAAGGGAAACTTTGCATGGACCAACTTGGCTAGAGAAGCAATGGAGAAGTTAAAAGTAGCTATCATGACTGCCCTTGTGTTAGCATTGCCCGACTTTAGCATTGCCCGACTTCACCCAACCTTTTCATGTTGAGTGTGATGCCTCGGGGGTTGGAATGGGAATAGGCGACCTATAGCTTTCTTTAGCAAAGCTCTATCGAAAGGAACTTTAAGCAAATCCATATATGAGAAGGAACTCATGGCATTGGCGGCCCTACCTCATAGGCCAAAAATTCGTGGTGCATTCTGACCAAAGGAGTTTGAAGTACTTGTTGGAACAAAGAATAACCACCCAAAATCAACAAAATTGGATTGCCAAATTATTAGGCTACGATTTTGACATCATATACAAAGCTGGGGCTATGAACAAAGTGGCGGATGCCTTGTCAAGAAAAGGGCTGGAATCAATGGCAGAGAAGGAAGAGTTAGATGAAAATTTGGAGGAAAAGGAGTTGCAGATTATAGCTAGACCTTATTGGAGAGACTTCCAGGATATCTTGGAAGAAGTGGAAGAAGATGAAGAACTCAAGGAGATTGTGGCAGACATCACAGGGGATCCGGATAAGCATTCGGCTTTTACACTGGAAGGGGGAAGACTGCATCATAAAAGCAGACTGGTGCTGTCTGCTAAATCCAAATGGATCCCCAAGATACTGGCCGAGATGCATACCTCATCCATAGGTGGACATTCTAGGGTATACCGGACTTATAGGAGGGTGGCGCAATCCCTATACTGGAAGGGTATGAAGAAAGCAGTGACAGATTATGTGGCTCAATGTGTGGTGTGCCAGCAGCACAAGTATTTAACAGCACAACTTGTTATTTTGATTCTCAAGTGTTTCTAGATTCTGCAATGGTTTTATTATAATACCTTATCCTCTTGTGTTAATTTTATAATTGCATGAGGAGTTTATTTGTATAATTTGTGCTTATGGTTATGCCATTAATTATGTGGTTAAGGCTATAATTCTCCAATTATTATTTTATGAAGAATTTATTTCATTTGCTGAAGTCCATATAACTTGTAAGACACTTTTAAGCAATCTGTTAACATGTTAAGTTCCATCTGCTACTGGTTTTAAAGAATTTGAGACATCCAAGATAATTTGTTACTAAATTGTCTACATCTAGATACCGTATGCCTCAACATGCATTCATTATATTCATGACTAATGTATTGTTATTATATTCATATTATATTCCTGGATATATCTTCTTCTGTTTCAATATTGTGGTTCCAAAGTTAAGGTCAACATGTTCTAAAATTTATCTTGATCTCAAATATTTTTAACCTAGCACAAGCACCATATAGTTACTCTGTCTCTATGCTTTAGGATTTTCAATTATTTTTCTTCGATGCTTATTTGGTATTTGACATTTCAATGGAATGGACTTGTTGAAAGGAATAATGACAAAATAGGTTATGGAAGACGGAATGGTACCATGTTGAGAAGGAATGTAATGAACTTCGTGTTGTATACACAATGGATATGCTTATTTATAATGAAGCAAATATACAATAATAAGAAACAACAATATCTAATAACATGAAATATTATTTGAAAGATATTTCCTTAACAAATTAGATCATATCTCTCTATTCAATGTAATCAAATCACATCTCTAATAGGACAAAAATGTTTGCAATGGTTCTGCAGGTTGGAACAGTACTCTACAGCAAAATTTTCTGAAACTTTTGAAATGATTCCTAAAACTTTGGCTGAGAATGTTGTGCTAAATGCAATGGAGATCAAATATTCTCTGTATGCAGAATATGCATCTGGAAATGCCAAAGTTAGTTGATTTGAGGTATTTCTAAGGATGTTTCAGCCTTGGGCATTGGCGATCTCCATGCCACGAAGTAAACTACATTATATTTTGTATATTTATAATAAACCTTGTCCAATAAAATATTTGTAGACATTAATTAAAGGCTATTGTGATTGATGGAGCTTAAGCATTCTTTCAAGTTCTAAGATTTGAAACAATAACAGAATCAGATTTATGTTTATATCACCTGAAAGACTAGTTTCACCTTTTTGTCTTTTTTCTGATCAGGCTCTCTGCTCTTATATATGCTGCGGATGCTGCATTCACTGTACTACGAGTGGACCAGGTAATCAACTAATAACAATCATGTTGGTAGTCAATTCCAGATTCTACCATTATATACAATTTTTAAGTGGTTAATAAATCTATTTACTAAGTAATATACAACTAAAAATGTGGTCAAGCTGTATTAATGATGTGGACTTTTGGCTCTTTCTTTGGCTTAATTTTTTATTTTGGAGGAGAAACACTGGAAATGTAACAAGGTCTGAAAGAACGCTTACAAAGCAAACAGAGTAAAAGGCACCAATCAATAAAATGAATCAAGTATCTCTCACAAGTTTAAATCAATCTATGCACCTCAACATCTCATCTTTATACTCAACTTTCCCATAAATTGAGGTGCAGAGTGACATAGAGAGAAATTGGAGGTGTCAAATAGGTGTTTTTAAAATGATTGTTTCCATTTATCATTCTTTAACTTTCTAAGTGTAAATTTATGGTAGATGATTTTTTATTATATTTTTCTTCAGATTGGTATTGCTAAACGAGCTGGCGATTCAAGGAGAGGGGAGCCATGCACGGATGAAGATTAAGACTAAAATTGATTTTCTATAGGTTACTACATTTTGTAACCCCATGGTTTCTTCATGTAGCTTCATGGGTGTTGGAAAGGTCTAAATTGCCCATATTTTAGATTTTCGTGTTGTGTAGAAATGTGTCAGAACCAGTAAAATCCACGCACGTATCGTTAGTGGAATTCACGTGTCAAGAGGGAGGCTCGACACTCAGATGACGAAGAAATCAGTTAGTGGAAAGTAGGTGTCGACAGATGAGGGGACGTCCGTTTTGAAGTGTGAAGCAAAACTTGGAATTTCAGAAAATCTACCCCACTCTCTGCATGCACCCTCTTTTCAAAATTTCTGAAGAATCTCATTCTCTCCTCCTTCTCTCTACATCCTCTTCATCTTCTCTCTGAGAAAACACTCATTTTCTCTTCTCTGATCACTGTTCCGGCACCATAGAATCACTTCCGGCGTCAAGAGCTTCCAGATAAACCGTTCGGTTTGTGAAGCTGGGCTGGTAAGTCCTTCTCTTCGCTCTGTCGTTCTTTTTCCTAAACATGTAAATCCAGTTCTGGGTTCGTGTGTTAATCACCATTCTTAAAAAGAGTGGTTTTGATAGTGTCGGGTTGTCACTTGGTGTAGTTGGAATTGTCGAGCGTTGACGGTAGAAGAACCTGTAGTGGTGAAATTGTATTTCTGCGTCTGGGAACGTTCGGTCACGATCAGAAGTAAGGGAAGCTTATTTAATTTAATTTGTATGTTGTTGTACTGTATGAACGTTCGTTAGTTGACTGAATGATTTTGATGCATGATGGTTGATATGATTGGATTGAATGAACGTACCTTTATTTAATGAGTGGAAATGAAATATGGCTGAGTTATGTTATAATGTATGAAATATATGAAACTTATATGATATGGATTGTATGAAGTATGAAAGTCGATTATAATATGAATGTATAAAGTTATGAAACTATATGTTTAGAAATGAGACAGATATAAATGAATTATGAATATGAAATTTCTCATATGAAAGTGTACGTTCGTTACTGAACGGTCTTCGATTGTTCGGTTCTTTTGGTAAACTTAGTTGAAATGTGATTCTTTCATTTTGAGAGAATCCTAGTTGAGGACGAGCGTCCTCTTGTGGTAATACTATGCTTGAGCGTTCGGCCAAGCACAGTTGTATCTGGGTATCCTGTGATAAACTAAATTTTTATATATACATGTAATGGTATATTTTCGTTGTTCGTAAACACTACTTCGATAGTATCTTATTATATTTATCAAGCCTTTTATTATAAGTTTATTAGTGCTCGGTCTTACACCAAGTGCTCGTACTGAGTAGTGCTCGGTCTTACACCAAGCGCTTGTGCTCGTTTCTTATATAATCTATCTTGATGAAAAATAGCGTTCGTCTAACTTCAATAGAATTTTCTTATCTACCGTGCTCGGTCATTGACTGACATTCGGATTTCTTTATGTAAATTCAAATAAGCTAAATATTCTTAAGCGTTCGGTTTCTTCAGGTGAATCCTTCTAAGTATTCTTCTCTGAAAGTCTTGAAGTGTATACGTTCATTTGGTTCCGGCTTAGAGCTTTAGTATTTTGCCTAGTTTTTTCTGCGTTTGGTTAGAACTCTCAAGGGTCAGTTCATCTAATTGACTCACTTTGTAAGTAACGTCCGTTGTAGTCATTCTTGCGATATGCAGTTGACCTCGGTTTCTTTCGTAATCCGATAGTAACCCTCTCGATCTTATTCTATTCTGGAACTGGAGACCTCTCTGTCTCGTTCCAAGTGTTCGTCCTTGATAACAGTTGAAAAACTGTTATTTTCATGCTTAAAATTGACACAAAAAGTAACCTTTACACTTAGAAACTAGCTTGAAATCATGCTTTTATCCATATTTTCATAAATAAGAGAGCTGAACAGGTTTATGCTTGACTTCAGTGTTTTTGTGCAGGTTTTAAGGTGAATTTAGTGAAAGAAGTGAAGGAGAGTGATGGAATCAGAAAAGTCAACCAGAAACCAGAAAAGTCAACCAGTCAACCAGAAAAGTCAACCAGTCAACCAAAAAGTCAACCAGTCAACCATAATACGGAAAAAGTCAACCATACGAGTTTTAGGCCAGTTTTCTGCGATTTTATGATCTGTTTGGGCTTGGACCCGTTTTCTATTATTTTTATGTCCTATTTAAAG